TTTGCATTGGCATAGAGTTCGCCGGAAACGCTTAACCCAGGTTAATGGCAAATTAAAAGTCCTATTAGCATGCTTTGGCATATACCCTATAGAGCTAAATTTGCTATTTTTGTAATTTGGTGAAATCACAGAAATTGGCTGCAAGTTATTTGAAGTAATAATTATAAAAAAAAATTCATTTTTAGAAAGACCAAAATGGCAAATGACTGATTATACATGTTATTTTTCTGGTTGTCAGGCCAAGGTTTGTTGTTAAGACATGATAAAAGTCTTGGTTGCTTGGTTATCAGGTTTCTTAAGAGCCAAGCGTATCTTGGCAAGATGTTTTACACATTGCTACTTTATTGGAGACCCCAAAGTGAAGAATACAGCTAGAACTTTATGTTAATGTCTAAAAAAATATATAAATATTAAATTGTTTGCATGTTTTTTGTACTTTTTGTAGATTACTGAGCTTCAGTGCTACCAACAAATCTAATTGAAGCAATAAACTAGATTTTAATAGTCATACACGAACAAGACAGAAATTTGTTGATGTAACAAAGAAAAATCTTGTTGAGTTGAAGTGCTTTACTGACATTGAGTAGAAGAATAATTTTAATCAGATAAACACAACACAAACATTTTAATTTAATTAGCAGCCAATACGTTACATAGACCTATTAAAACCATGTTAAATATGCAAGTTTATATTGCGTCTATATAACACATTCAAAGTAGTTCAAGTTTACTTAATTTGTTTAGATGCACTATGGGTGCTACAATTAAATCGTGTGGATTCAACAAATTATTTTTAAATGTCCTTTTTAGAAATGATTGGACTTTAGTGCTGCCAATTAAGACCAATCAAAATGAAGTAACACAATTAATGGTAATATCCATACATAGACTACACAGAAAAGTGCTTATGTGACAAAGGAATAATCTTGAGTGTTCAGGGTCGGTCCAGGTCACCTTTATTAGGCTTGAGTTTCCACTGGCAAAAGTGTACCAATGGTGATTTTGGTGGGCATGGCATACGACAGAAGGTTCTGTCAACAATATGCGGAAATATGTTAAAACTGGGCTCACAGTTTATAAATCACTGTTTGATCAGCATCAAACTGATTATCACAATGGTGTTACAGCAGCTAAGAAGGAATTCTACTCAAGAGCTATTAGTAGTAATAGTTCTATTTCCAAAGTTTTATTCCAAACAGTTAACAGTTTGATCAGACCCTCTCATAACTCCCTCCCTCCCACTATAGAGTGATGTAATGAGTTTCTCAATTTTTTCACTGAAGAAATTCTGTGTTTCCTACATCTGAGTTCTCAACATTCCCCACCACTATTTTGAAGCAGTCTGTATCTGTCTTTGAACCCCACATCACTGCCATTGTTAGTGCATCCGTCAGTAATGGGATTGTTCCACTAGCATTGAAGATGGCTACTATAACACCTGTTCTTAAAATGCCTGGCAGCGACACTACACTGTTGTCAAACTATCGACCCATCTCAAATTTACCATTTGTGGCTAAAGTCCTGGAACGTGTGGTGGTGAGCCAACTCCATAATCATCTTCATGCAAACACTCAGTTTGAGAAATTTCAGTCTTGTTTCAAAGCTGGTCACAGTACTGAAACTGGCCTAGTTAGGGCCGTAAACAACCTTCTTCTAAGTGCAGATAGTGGGGCCTGTGGCATTCTTGTCTTATTAGATCTCACGGCTGCTTTTGACACCATATGTCACAGTATACTGCTGGACAGGCTCAGGAAGTGGATTGGTTTGTCTGGTACAGTAATTAGCTGGTTTGACTCTTATCTCGCTGACTGCTCTCAGTTTGTCTGTTTGGGTGCTCATAGATCCCGCACTGTTCCATTGCATCAGGGTGTTCCTCAGGGGTCTGTCCTTGGTCCACTGCTGTTTAGTATTTATTTGTTGCCTCTTGGCCAGATTATGAGTAAATATGGCTTGAGGTACCACTGCAACGCTGATGACACTCAAATCTATGTTAGTGCTCGCCCCGATCTTAACACTGCTACGTCATTTTTATCTGCCCTTCTTTTAGAAATTAAATCTTGGATGAGTCAAAACTTCCTTAAATTAAACAGTTCCAAAACTGAGGTCTTATTAATTGGCACCCCTACAAAGGTTAGCCAGCATAAGGATTTTACACTTTCAGTTGATAATGTTCAATTGTCTCCTTCTACCCAGGTGTGTAATCTTGGGGTGCTCTTTGATGCACAGCTCAGTTTTAATTCCCACTTTAAACACTTAACAAAAACTGCCTTCTTTCGTCTCCTGAATATTGCACCGATCAGACCATTTCTCTCACGACCTGATGCAGAGAGGCTTATCCATGGCTTTATCACATCACCTCTTGATTTTTGTAATTTAATTTTTGGGGGTTTACCTGCAAGTTCTCTCAGAAGACTACAATATATACAAAATTCCGCTGCACGGGTTTTAACACACACATCATCACGCCACCATATTACTCCTGTGCTACAACACTGGCTTCCTGTTAAATCACGGATTGATTTTAAGACCTTGATTTTAACTTTTAAAGCAGTGCATGGTTTAGCACCCAGTTACATCTGCGACCTGGTGACCCTCGCCACCCCAGCCCACAGTCTTTGTTCTGCATCGGGACTTACATTGCATCAGCCACAGTGTAAACTCAAGACCATGGGTGGGAGGGCTTTTTCACACAGTGCGCCTAAGCTTTGAAATGAACTCCCCATCAGCATTAGGAATGCTGCCTCTCTTGACTGTTTTAAGAAACTTCTTAAGACTTACCTTTTTAGCATTGCTTTTAATTTAGGGTGATCATTTTGTTTAACTTTTTATTCCTATCTTATGGTTCATATTTTTATTGTTTTATTGCATCCTTTATTGTTGTGCTGTTTTGCTTGCATTGTGTTTTAGTGCTTTGCCTGTAGCGCTTTGAGTATAAGAAAAGTGCATTACAAATAAAATGTATTATTATTATTATTAATATAATTACAGAAAACCCACACATCATACATTTATAATTACAAAAAACCTACACACAGCATACATATTTGACTTAAAAAAAAAAAAAATGCAACAAATACCGTAGCCTACAGTCAGTGCAAACCACTTATCTGTATCTTTTATCTTTCACACCTGTGAATCGATTCATTTGTTCCGAAACAGGGATTAAAATTGTTACAATGTTGCTTTTTGTTCTTTGTGCAGTTCGCTTTCACACGGCAAAGTTTAAATGGACCAAAATAGCTAAAACAAGTCACATTCTAGTAAACTGTCCTCACATTGGTCAGAGTTTCAGGATTTAATTAGCATTAGCTCAGCTGTCATGCGTCCTTATTTTAAATTATGAGGATGAGGGATAAAGACATCATTAACTAAAAGCTACACTTTCATTTTGAATGGTGACACTCATAGACATCGTCACCGAGTATAAATCAGAGGTACACTGAAAAAAATTATTCAAAGATGATTTCTTGAATTGCTAAAATATTTTAAGTTAAGTGGTTGTAAACAATTTGTTTGGGCTGGATTTAAACAAATTAAGTTAAACATTACTAAATGTAATTTGTTTGCTTAAATTCAACACAAATAAATTGTTTGCAACAATGTTGCAGACAATTTTTTTTCAGTGTAAGACTTCCTCATACATAGCAGTTGGCTTATGCATTATAGGCTTTTACATTTTACATTTACCGATAGGAATGACCTCTCGCCCTACTCATAATTCTCTCTTCATATAGCCATATATATGCCTATGACATATCCATGATACACTGTGATATAGCCGGGCTCGGATCGTATCGCTTTCTCACTACAGTCGATACAATTCCAAGTTTGTTTCTATCGAGCCGAGACCGCCTCATTCATGCATTCTCGGACCTGTTGATTTGGAGCAGATTCGAGCGCGATTGCTGGATTTACATATGCCACATAAACCGCACTAACATGGCAAACGAGACAGCTTCCGAAACAAAAGTCTAGGTGTGAAAGCACCCTTACTCTTCATCAGCACATGTAACTATTGTTAGAAAGTTCATAATAGTTGAAAAGGTGATGTTGATAACAGTTAAACATGGCAGTTTTAGGTTGCTGAAATAATCATTTGCTCCTTTGTTGTTTTCCGGCTTCTTTTTATTTTTTTCACGCTTCACTCACGCATTTGTCTGTTTGTGAAATTGATGTCACGAAGCACTTTAATAATCATGCGTGCATTAAGATCACCAGCTTAAGAAGTTTGTTTTTTCAAATATAGATTTGCAGCAGGTTCTCTGGAGAAATTGAAACCGCTCGCGTAAAACAAAAACAGGGCACTGCAGATTTTGTCCTTGGCTTTGTGGCTGTTCATCAAAAAGACGTTTTTTGTTTGCTTTTGAAAGGGTACCCAAAAAGTGGTATGGTACAGTACGGTTCGCTTTTTGGTACCTTTTGACAGCGGAAATGGTCATAAAAGCATACTGAACCATACCCAACCACTCAGTGGAAACAGGCTATTACTGACATTAAGTATATGAACCAAATCAATCAGATAAACACAACACAAACTTTTTAATTCAATTACAGTAGCTGCAAGAAGTTACACAAACCTATTAAACCATGTTAAAATTACAAGTTTATATTGTGTTCAATATAAAGCAGTTCAAGTTTATTTGATTCGTTTAAATGCATAATGGGTGCTACGATTAAATCATGTTGATTCAACAATTTATTTTTGGAATATCTGAAATTAATGGCAAAGTAGAATTTTGCTCTCCATATCCATTTTTAATCTATAAAATATAGGCTACTTGTATTCTCATGGTGTCGATTTGTCCTTTAAACATTTTACAAATAGGTGGGCTACACATAGGTCAATGGCTACTTTCCAGCTTTTTTTTCAAAATACTTTCTTTAAGAGAAGAAAAAACCTATTAATGTTTAAAATAAGCAATAGGTGATTAAATGAATGTTGCACGTCTACATTATGTACCTCCAGACCCGCTGGTGGCGCTGTTCAGTAAGCAGAGCTCATTCCATGCTGTTTGCAGCTCTCCTTGCTATCGAGTATTTTCTGCAGGTCAGTGCCGAATGTTGGCCATTTGATGCATTATTGCATTTTACAGTATTGAACCTCAGTTTAGTGTGAAATGAGCGGTATGCCCGGAACCAACGTGATCCAAATAACTAATTTGTCGGCGGCGGTAAGCAGCGATCAGATGAGAACTCTATTCGGCTTCCTTGGGGACATCGATGAGCTGCGACTCTACCCGCCTGAGTGAGTCACAACAACAATACTAAACACACATCACACATACGTATTAAACCAAAACAGACATACACCCACGCCCGCCTGAGAGAGATACAACGTATCATACGCTCATCATGCATATCGGATACACACACACACACATCCCAAACAGACACTTTATAATGATGACAACACACCATCAGCACCACACTGTCACAAACATACTAACTTGACGTTACATACATAAACATTACATCATTTGGAACACACGACATCTGCACACGTTAACACACATGCCCTACAAATAACATCACTGTAAATGGTATGAAACAGCCAAATGCACACGGACAAACACATCCCAAACAAACCCATTACGTTATAGTGATGACAACAAACCATCACACAAATACTACAACATACATAATCATCAGATAGGTACACACGAGATCCATACAAATGTAAACACACCTGCCTGACCATAACATCAAACACTATAAACAGCCAATAACACACAAAGGGTTGGCATTGATGTCATGACCTGAGTGAACCTTCATTTCTATTTCAGTTTTGCAATTTCATGCTCTATGTATCATTTAATGGAATTTATTTTGATGCCATGTGACATTGCAGTTTCTCCGCTTCTCTTGCAAAAATTTTAATATTTCACGAGACTAAGATTTTAAATATGTAGTCATACCGGTCTATTTTGTTTTTCAATACAATTCAACATATAGTCTCCATATAACAGTTAGTGGAACTGATTTAATAATAATAATAATAATATTAACAATAATTCCTTACATTTATATAGCGCTCAAAGCACTTTACACATTTTTAGGGGGAATCTCCTCATCCACCTGGATGACAAGACAACAGCCATATTGCGCCAAACTATTATTATTTGTTTTATTGAAATCAACATTTTAAATAATTGTTGTTCAGCAGCGGAATGTCTTTCTGTCTGTCTATCTATATATATACAAAATATATCGACAATAATATGTAAATATATATATATATATATATACATATATATATATATATATATATATATCAGAGGTCGCGTTAGACTTTCTTAATGTCCGTCATTTTGACGGAAAGGGTTTTAAATATTCCGTCATAACCTTTTATTGACTGTCATTTAATTTGCATATTTTCTTATCGCTTTTTTCATTTAGATTTTAATAATGAACTTGCACAACGAGCATATAGGCTAAATTATTAATTTATATATTTAACAAATGAACAAAAGCTCTCATCTGCCTTAACTCATATCTTCCTCCTGCGTCAACTTGAACTATTAAGTGTATCAAATGAGACTGATGCAGATGCAGATGCAATTGTCATTAAATTCTGTGTCTTTGCCTCGGAAAGTCGACTTCTCCTAACAGTTTTAATTTTGTACTGGCGGCTAAAGCCGCGTTCTGCTGCCACACTGGAGACCGGATGTACCAGAGAGCCACCTCAGCCAGCATTTATAGTTAGGAAACATTTCTCCTAAGAAAGTGATCAGAAGTTGGCTGGATTATCTGAATGTGGGATTTACCGATCCTGCAAGCACTCGTTTCACCGTGAAAAAATACTGCAGCACGCGCTCCTTTACTTGCGTTCGGTAGTGCTCACTGCTGAGCTCACAACGCACTCCAAAGCACATGACCTTCTTGCTGCCACTTGGTTGGCCGGTAACAGCTGTCGGCGAATGAGGATTTCTGTCTGTTTGTTCTTCATCGTCCACTGCATCACTTTCTTTTTTTCACCTTTATTATTAATATAACAACTATTTGGCCATATAAAGAAACTTCTCACACTCAGCTGCTGTGACATTTTTGCAATTACGCAACGGTGAAAAGATGAGACAAAACAAAAACAATCACCATCAGCTGGACAGGAGTAAGAATTATAGTTAGCTACAAATTACAATAGATCACCCTCAGCATAATCCGTCAAAATGAAAGATATTCAGTTATATATTCGATTAACGCAACCTCTGATATATATATATATATATATATATATATATATATATATATATATATATATATATATATATATATATATATATATATATATATATATATACATACATATACATACATACATACATACACACACACACACACACACACACACACACACACACACACACACACACACAGAAGTCAGAATTATTAGCCCCCCTTTAATTTTTTTTCCTTTTTTAAATATTTCCCAAATGATGCTTAACAGAGCAAGAAAATTTTCACAGTATGACAGATAATATTTTTTACTCTAGAGAAAGTCTTATTTGTTTTTGTTTTTTTTCAGCTAAAATAAAAGCTGTTTTTAATTTTTAAACACCATTTCAAGATCAAAATTATTAGCCCCTTTAATCTATATATTTTTTTGATAGTCTACAGTAGTGGTTCTCAACTGGTTTGGCTATGGGACCTACATTTTTACATGGTCATAATGCTGCGACACAAATTTTTAGGAAATATAATATAATTTTAGGAATTATAATTCATTTGTATTTATTTGTTAATAGACACAAATAGTGACCTATAAATCTAAATGGATCAAATTATAGTAATATTACAGAGTAATAACATCAAAAACTGTGAACAGTGGTTTGGGTAAGGAAAAGTTCAGTTACCAGTAACTAAACTGAACTGTTCATAAAACATTAACACATGATCCTGTTGAACAGAACAAACCAGCGAATTAAAGTAAAATGATTAAAATAATCATAACCATCTTTATAATAATCACCAGTTATTTGCTCATCTGCTATTGTGTGGGCTAATTTGTCCTTTGCTAAATGGTGAGCTACAAAGTGCGATGCGTGGAGTTTCTGTACTTGTTTTGAACATAAAGATGTTAAGCACTTTTTTGATGCCCTCAGCTTTTGGAGTCGTCTTTGAAAATAGTCCACAGGTTTGTCCTTGCAACTGGGATGTTTGGTTTGTAAATGTCGTTTTTATTCAGAAGGTTTCATGCTCTCTTGTGAGAGCACCTCACTAAATATGATACACTGAGGTTTTAAACCTTTTTTGTCGTCAATATATGTAAATCCATACTTTACATATTCGAGGTCATACTTGCGCTTTGACATATTTGTTGCTATAATTAAAGGAAATTTCACATGTCAAACTGTACGGTTGTCGCACGTGCATTTCAAAATAAAATACCGATATAAGAAGAATGAGTTAAAAATGTAACTTTTGTTGTTGTTGTTTTTTTATCACACACTCCACGACCCACTGAAAATGTTTCGCGACCCACCAGTTGAGAAACACTGGTCTACAGAACAAACCATAATTTTACAATGACTTGCCTAATTACCCTAACTTGTTTAATTAACCTAATTAACTGAATTATGCTTTTAAATGCCACTTTAAGCTGTATAGAAGTGTCTTGAAAAATATATAGTAAAATATTATTTTCTGTCATTATGGCAAAGATAAAATAAATCGAATAATAAAATAAATAGTTATTAGAGATGAGTTATTAAAACTATTATGTTTAGAAATGTGTTAAAAAAATGTTCTATCTTTTAAAAAGAAAATGGGGAAAAATAAACATAGTAATCCTAATTATTCAGGCTAATAATTCAGGGGGGCTAATAATTCTGACTTCAACTGTATGTGTAAGTGTGTGTGTGTGTGTGTGTGTGTGTGTGTGTGTGTATATATATATATATATATATATATATATATATATATATATATATATATATATAAACTTCAGCATGTTGGTTTAATTTATGATTTGGTTGAATGGTTGAAGCATTTAAGCAATGGCTTAAAAGACCCATATGAAGGAGAAAAAATGTAAACTAAGAGTTTCTATAACTCTAATTTATAGAAGTTTCTTTAAGTTTCTGTACTTAAGCAGTGAATGTTGTAGTTACAATTAGGAGTGTCCAAGTCTTTTCCTGTGGCACCACTGCCAGTTAAAAATATAATTAAGGAAATGAATTAAAGTTGTTTAAGGGAATAACTGGGTGGTTCAAATGTTTAATCTCTCACTATTATTCTTAATATATAAGAATATATTAATATATATATATATATATATATATATATATATATATATATATATATATATATATATATATATATATAAGGGATATTTCACCAACAATAAAAAATATGTTACTATTTACTCCAAAACTTCCACTTCTGCAAAGAGTTTCTTTATTCTATTGAACAAAAAAATGATATATTTTGAAGAAGGAAGGAAGCCTTTAACGATTGATTTGCACAGTGGGAAAAACTAATAGTATGGAAGCCAATAGTTACAGGTTTCCAACTTTCTTTAAAACATTTTGTTTTTGTTTAGCAGAAAAAAAAAAAAAACTGGTTTGAATAATGGAGGAGGAGTAAATGATAACTGAATTTTCATTTTTGTGTGAACTATTTTTTAAAAGCCCCCCTCTCCTGTTAGGATAGCTTCAAATAGGAATAAGCAGTGTCCTAGTGAGCACACACACAAAAAAAATCTTTGAGGTTTATTAGTTTTTTTTGTCAGCATCTGTACCACTTTTATAAAGCAAAACACATTACTCCACTATTTTGAAAATGATTGCAATATCACCAAAGATTCACCTTACATGCACAAAACGGGTTTTAAAAATCTTATTTATGACTTTAAAATGTGTATCTTTTAAGAAAAGAAGCAATTACATGTAACATATTACATCAAAAAGCATAATAAATTGTTTCTCTTCTCTTTCAGCAATGCACCCCTTTCCTTCTCATCAAAAGTTTGTTACATAAAGTATCGGGAGCCTTCGAGTGTTGGTGTGGCACAACATTTAACCAACACTGTTTTTATTGACAGAGCTTTGATTGTTGTGCCCTGCGCTGAAGGTTAGTACATTTGCATGCGTGTTGCATTTGTGTGCCTGTTTAAAGAAAGACGCTAGTTATCTTCCTGCAAATCAAATTTTTTAGAAGAGCAAACCATAATAGGCTTCCTGACATTATTTTGTGTGTTTTTGTGTCCCAGATGTGTATGATAACCATGAGTCTGTGTGCTGAGCTATCACTGCTATCAGCTTTGTTTTATTTTGTGAGTTCAGTGAAGGCGGGTGGAGTGACACCAGCTCTCTTGTTTATCAGTTGAGCTGGAGGATGTGGAAATGATGGAGGTGATTAAGGTCATACTTTTGTTTTATGTAAGCGCGCCAGGACTGTGTGAACATGCTTTCAGTGTTTTGATAAACTCAAGGGATTTTTGCTAGCTACACAGTCCTTAATTTGTATTCATAAATGCTTTTTTGCCTTTTGATTATGGGTTTAACAATGAGATGATGCATTTCTAGAAAATGAAAAAAGCAGGGTGAATGAATGCCTACACATAATTACTGATAATTATTAATTGTTTATAGGACCTTGAGTGATACATAAAAAACAATAATACATGTTTTCCTAAAAAAAAATATATTTGTCAGTTTACAAATAAGGGATTAAAGGGAAAATATGAAGCAAAGTCAAGTTTACAATATTTTGTAAATTCATTTCCACTTTAATGGAAATATATTAAACATTTATTCATTCATTTTCTTGTTGGCTTAGACCCTTTATTAATCTGGGGTCGCCACAGCGGAACGAACCGCAAACTTATCCAGCGTGTTTTTACGCAGCGGATATATATTAAACAAACTCGATTAATGCATTTAGCAGAAAACAGCATGTTTTACTATAGTTTTTAGAGCTGGGGTGCTGCCATCTTGGAATGTCACTGTGATTGACGTCACAGGGTTGGTTCTGTTCCTTCAGCTGAACAGGTGCAGTGGAAGTAATGGGCCGAACACGGAGACTGCAAAGCCAATGCGTGAAGTTGTGGGTGTAGAGCTGGCGCAAATACAAGAAGCAGATGTGTATCTAATATACAGGGTTCATACATTCATGGAAAACTTTGAAAAGTCATTGAATTTTGACGTGGCATTTTCCAAGCCTGGAAAAGTTTTGAAAAAACAGGAAAACCCACAAAGTTTTGGAAAAGTCATGAAAATTAGTTTAACAAATATCTGTATACTTGAATTTGGGCTGCACGATATTGGAAAAAATCATTACTATATTTTGTATTTCTGTGATATCTATTGCGATGTAAAATACAATATCACCAGATGATTTAAGGTTTATTTGGATTGATTAGGGGGATTTAGTAGGGGACTGAATTTCAAATAATATATAATAATAAAATTACAAGCATAGATAAATACAATATAGTTTATACAAAAGTGAATTATAGTTTTCAGGTATTTACTATTCTGGTACCGATATTGAATAATCAACACTGCATAGTCTGCACTGTATTTTATTTAATTTTTATTAAAGTTATAAAAAATTACTTGTGGCCGGATGTTTTAAAATCTGAAATATTGAAATGCTCACACAGTCACAGGCCTTAACGGGACAGTTCACTCAAAGATTAAAATGTACTCACTAGGCTTGGGCGGTATCGAAATTTTGATACCGTCAAAACGCCTCCATATTTTACCCCCGGTATCCGGTATTACCGGCGTAATAAAAAAAATCTGACGTAAGGCTCAGACAGCGTCACCAAACTGTTGGCTTGAGCCTAAACCATTCAGAAACTGAATAACTTCTATGCGACCTTAGGCTCGCAGTCAGAAAGGGAGAGAGAGAGAGAGAGAGAGAGAGCGCCAAGCGACGCACAGCTCTCTCTCTCTCTCGCTCTCTCTCTTACACAAACACACACACACACACCTCTCCCGCGATTTATTCAGTAATTTACTCCCATACCGTAAGAAATCTGGCCGGCTCTCGTGGAACAGCAGCGGGAATGCAGAGAGCTGTATTTGGGCCATAAAAATTAGGCACGATAGGTCCCGAGTCCGACAAGTACATTTTGATTGACAGCTTTGTAAAGCCCTAACCCGTTTACAGCCCGACATTATTCAAATGCTCTCACAGCTCTAATGCATTTTTTAAAGAATGAGTCATTTATATGTTTTAAAGAGCCCATATTATACATGAAATAGGGTCATATCTTGGTTGTAAGGGTCTCCAACAACAGTTTAATATGCATGCAAGGTCAAAAAACACTTTCGTGGTCTTATAATCTGCATTTATTTTTACCTAATTATCCCAGCGACTCTTGTATGAATCGTCCAGTGATTCATTTGTTCCTAAACCCCTCCTTAGCGCGAAGCTAATCTGCGCTGGTTGGACCAATGACAGTCTGTTGCGATTGGTCGACTGCCTTCAGTCAGAGAGTGAAATGCCAAACAGCTAATCAGCAATATAAAAGTAATCACAGTTCATACACGCTCGATAGTGTAGGCGTGGATTTTAGCTGCCAGTGGGTCAATGTAAATACAGACTATGGACTTGAAAATTCAGACGACTAACTATTTTATTGGGCAAAAACTCCAAAAACAGTTGAGGAGATCTCCTAGCTTCTCACTCTGCTCTTTTCACAGACACATACACACACGCACTTAACCCTGCTCCGGACGACAACGCGCGCACACACACACACACACACACACACACACACACACACACACACACACACACACACACACACACACACACACACACACACACCTCCGGACGACAGCGTGCACACACAGACACACACACTACTCCTCGTCCACGGAGCTCCGTTTACAAAGCAGCACGCGTCGCATTTTTAACGTGACTTTACACGCGATAAGAGAATATAGCCAGTTAACCTGATACAGTACACGCGGTTACAAGTAACACATCACAACTAAATACATTTGCAAGCTAGAGTAAACGAGGCAACTTTAATCGCACGTACTTACACTTGAGAAATGGAGGAAGAAAAAGCCATCCTGACGTCCATCAGTCAGTTACTCTTTACTGATCCTTCCTTTAACAAACGCCGATGAAGTATTCTTTGTAGCATGTAGTTTCCAGTAGTTTCCAACTGCTTGGCTATAATGCTGAGGTTTCATCTTTGGGTAGAGACTCAATATATCCATCTGTAGTGTGACTTCAATCGACCGGCATGTTTGTGTGTGTGTGTGTTTGTGTGTGTGTGTGTGTCTGGGTTTCTGCGTCAGAGGGCGGGGCCTCAGGTTTGAAAACTCCCGGAATTGAGCGTGCACGTGAATAACTTGGTTTCGTTCGTACGTCATGGCGAAACACCTAATGAATCGGTATCAAGGCGACTCGTTTGAAGCACTATGAGTCGACTCTTTTATAGATGAATCAACAGTTTTAAACACTGTACACTAACAGATTTAAGCCTTAGCTGGATACTTCACTTCACTTAGAGCTGTGTTACACACTACATGGAGGGGAATTTTCAAAAACCCATAATATGGGCTCTTTAACATCATTTATTCGTAGCAAACGTAGACTATAGGCCACTTGGAAGTTGGAACAAAGAAATAAAATAAGTCCTCTGTAACATCGTAACATCTCAGCGCTCTGGTCTAGGTACATGCACCTTTAAATTGGCCAACACACAAATGAAAAGAAATCTTGCTTAACAAATCAAATTAAAATAAACTCTAAATGATGACGGGTATTTTGGCAATAAAGGAATTAAGATAAAGGCTCTGCAATATTTATTTCTCCACTTCTCTTCAAAATCTGGCATTAGGGCGTCGGTGAAGCTGAATATTAAAATAATAATGCCACCATTAGTCTGTATACTCTGTCTACATTATGATTATATGGTTTAATTAATATTTATTTATAATTTAAAAACCCTTTACTCACCAAGATTAGGCTACGTGTGTTTGTGGAGGAACATTATTAAATCCACTGGCTTTAGCGCAGTCTTGCACTCATGGTGCATCCAGCAGCTGAACACCCTTTCCTGCGGCTACAGGTCGAGATGCAGAGTTCTGATCTGGCAGATTTTGCAAGTTTTGGGTAGGATTGTTTGTTCATCTTCTACCAGTCAGAAACATCCATTTAATTTTCCATGACAGTAGTTTCATTGTAGCAAGAGGCCTCGTCATTTTACCTGTCAGCTTGCGGTTTAGGGCTCTACCGTAATACGCAGTGTATGAGCGACCGCCGAAATACCTGGCTGGAATAACCGCTCCTTCTGAGCTAGTGACTGGCTTGACTGCCGTCAAAATTAACTCTTTTTACTACTTCGTCATAGTTTGTTTCACCTTTGCAAGGATGGATTTTATTGCAGGGATTTGGATTTTTTTGGGTCTCGCCGGGTTCGGGCAAAGATCTACAGCTCTAATGCAGACCTCTCGTTCATATTAACCACGTCTCCCTTCTGTTCAGTCGAAACTGCCAAACTGCAGGACTATGGCGCTCCTCCAAGCTCTTTAACCTGACGCTGCAACGTGCACTCGTCTCACCGAACGTCTCACTGAACGTCTCACTGACGTCTTAAAAAATATTTTTTTTTTGCTATTAAATCCATGCAATTTAAGACGCAGACGTGACGTAGACGTGACGTTGACGTCACGTAGACGTCACGTAAATCCCGTGTGGCAGTGAAGTGTCAAGCCAGACGTTACGCGTGATTCACGTGTAGCAGTGAAGTTATTAGGTGCTATGATATATGAAGCTCAGCTGCAGCCGGTGATCAACGAGATTAGCCGAGCGCAGGCGGGGCGGAGTTGAAAACGGAGCCATCAAGACGGACAGCTGGACACTTCGGGACTCAAAGTTGCTGCAGTCATGATGACCGATCACATGGCGTCATCATATTTTTGTGTTATTTTTATTTATAACTATAAAACATTTACAAATAAAACAGAATACAGTCTCTTCAAACTGTTTCCTTTTTAAACAATATAAGAGAATTATGAGTAAAATATATAACAAATGCATGAGAGAAATAAGAGGAAATGAGAGGTTAATATAAACATAAAAACAAACAGGTGTATTAAATA